TGCATGAATGGCCTTCCGGAGAACATCCATGACATCAGCGTGGGCAAAAGCGACGACGCTGAGGTGGTGCTCTTCAACTCTGGCAACGCTGCAATCGAGGGACTTGGCGTCTTCTTGTTTGCCTATGTCTGCCAGATCAACGCGTATGAAGTGTATTGGGATATGACAGACCGCTCTCTCTCCAAGTACACCTTGGCGTCGGCTCTGGGTATGATGCTGTGCTTCCTGTTGTACGCCATGACATCCTTCTTCGGCTACCTCGACTTTGGCCGAGAAGTGACGAGCTCTGTGCTGCTTATGTACGATCCAATCAAGGAAAAACAGATGATGGTCGGTTTTGTTGGTGTGCTTGTGAAGTTGTGTTGTTCTTTTGCATTGCTTTCCATGGCGTGCCGCAACTCCCTGTATGGCACTATTGGCTGGGATGCTGATGAAATTCCCTACTGGAAGCACATTATTGTGGTCGTCACCCTCTCCGTTATCATGCTGCTCTTCGGCCTGTTCATCCCAAAGATTACAATTGTGTTGGGCTTTGCCGGATCCATCACTGGAGGCTCTCTCGGTTTCATCCTCCCAGCGCTGTTCGTCATGTACTCAGGGGATTGGAACCTGAAGAAGGTGGGCATCTTCAACTACCTATGCACGTACGCCCTACTTCTGTCTGGAGTTGTTGCTGTTATTTTTGGCGAAGGTGGGACGATTTACAGTACGGTTATTGGCGATTGATTTATTACAGAACTCCTATTGGCACGAAACAGGTTTGTACCATTTACAAATAACGATGTAATAAATGGAAGAGAAATAATAGTTTAAAATATTTTTATAGCTTTTTTCTCTCTGAGATTATTTTTGATTAAATTTTTCCTCGCTTATATTAGTTGGTTTTTGTGTAGTTTGAACGTATTGTTTTGTTCTTGGTTTATGTCTAGCTTTAATAATAAGGTACGTTTTTATAATATGTACAGTTTCTTCACGTATACGCATGTGTTTGACAACACTCTCTCTCTCTCTCATCAGTAATATTTTTCAATGTATTAGACTACGTTACACAACCCAAATCATGAGATATTGCAGCATTCTATTTTTTCTTTTTTTTTTGTTTTCTGCAATATTGACTGCTCAATGATCTCCGCTGGTAATTCACACACACATACACGCACAGATATACACTCACGTACACAGAGAAACCTCTGCTAACAGCTGCCAACAAGTTGAACCCCCAGTACATAGACCCGGCTCTATGTGGGTGGATGGGATAGATCGCTGGCTGTCATAGGAGTTCCCT